TCAGACAAACTACAGCTCAACTTGAGGGCAGTGTCTGTGCTCAGACACTACAGCTCAACTTGAGGTGAGTGTGCTCAGAAACTATAACTCAACTTCAGGTGAGTGTCTGCTCAGACAAACTACAGCTCACAACTTAAGGGAAGTGTCTGTGCTCAGACAAAAACCACAACTCGAGGGGAGTGTCTATGCTCAGAAAATACAGCTCAACTTGAGAGCAGTGTCTGTGCTCAGAAAATACAGCTCAACTTGAGGGCAGTGTCTGTGCTCAGACACAAAACTACAGCTCAACTCCAGGGGAGTGTCTGTGCTCAGATAAAAACCACAACAACTTGAGGGCAGTGTCTGTGCTCAGACAAAAACTACAGCTCAGCTGGAGGGCAGTGCCTGTGCTCAGACAGCAGCTGCCCCTCTGATCAGGGGCAGGCACTTGGGTCACAGCCACAGGAACCTGACCAACACAGAGATACAGGTTACTACAGAATTGCAGGTACTACAACACACAGGCCTCCCACTGCCCGAGCAGAGCAGCAAGAAAGCTGAGGAGAAAGAGGTTTGAATCTTTAAACAAAGGCACAGAGAGCAGTGAATGTCCACTGCCTGTGTCTAAACCCACACCACAGTGACTTCAGCCCTGCTCACCACCAGCACGACAAGCTGCAGAAGTGAAGAGCAGGAAGTATTTTATTGCTGTGCTCACTTTTTATTCACAAACTGGGCTGTGACATGCGGTTTTCCTGCATTACTCTACTCCTCCATCATGGTGTTGCCACATTTTGTCAGTCAGTGAAAAGCCGGTGTCTAATTATCCATAGAACTGCTGGATGTCACCACGTCCCTTTCCCGGGCCCAGGATTCGGCAGTTCCCTGTTGGCCGCTGACCTCTAGTGGTGAGTGAAGGAGGGAGAGGGGAAAGGACCACAGTTCCACCGGGAAAACACTGATCCTTTCTCCCTCCAGATCAAAGCCAAAGGGTCAGCCACCCTCCCCTCAGCAGCTGCAGTGCACAGGTCCATCCAAACTCAGGGACAGAGTCCCCTCCCAAGAGCCTGCCTTGCCCCCAGGTCAGTGGGGCTGCTCTCCTCACAGAGTTTGTTACAAACAGCAGGAATTGTTTTATTTACCTCCTTCCCCCTGTGAGGAACAGAGATGCCAATGCCCTCCCTGTAACACTGTCCCCTCCCCAGACACAGCCCCCCATGAGGCAGGGCCTGGCTTGGGGAGTCCCAGTGCTGCCATCTCAGCTCAGACCACTGAGGAAATCGTTGTATTTTCGCAGTATCCCAGAACAGCTGGGGTTGGAAGGGACCTTAAGGACCATCTCACCCCCTGCCATGGGCAGGGACACCTTCCACTAGCCCAGGTTGCTCCAAGCCTGTCCAGCCTGGCCTTGGACACTTCCAGGGATCCAGGGGCAGCCACAGCTTCTCTGGGCAACCTGTGTCCAGGGGCAGCCACAGCTTCTCTGGGCAACCTGTGCCAGGGCCTCATGTTGGGAAAGAGCCGTGGGAAGCCCACACTGCAGAGGCTCCCAAGGTAAGGAAGGTGTAATTACAGACAGAGGTTGGTGTAAATCTTCCCTCAGACTGAAAACAACACCTTACCACTGCAGCATCTGCTTGGGGAACAAGTCACAGTTGGTCTGTACCTACACCCAACACACCTCCAAAGTATGTTACTTTTTGGGACAGGCTCTCCAAGAGCTCATATTTTACTCTCCCACAACCAAACCCTACAGATTCACATCCAGGCAATAATATTTTAAACAATCCAACTGATCAGTGGCAAAGACCTGACCACTCCATACCCACAGGAACAGCAGTACCTTTGCTTTCTTCACGTGGCCCATGATATTGCCAAGATCTTCAACATCAATGATAGAATTTGTGCCTCCAGCTTCCTCAGCATCAGCTTCCTCCTCACTACTGGTTTCAAACAATTCCTCTGCCTGTGGGAGAGATCAGAGAAAAACAATTAAGAATTTATCTGAATGTTAAACATAACACCTTTTATCTAAGTGAAATAACTCTCCTTATTAATCAAGACCTCTGAAAAGAAGGAATATCCTACTAATAACCTGAAGGATGTATATGGAAGCCTGAACCCTTTTAAACCCTCTAAGTGCCTCTGGATGAATGAACAGGGAGAGAGGGATTTGCTTTCCAAGGTAAACTCTCCACAGAGCAGAAAGGTTTCTCTCTTTCTGTACAAATCCAAGGTACAGCACAACAGCACTGGTGTAACAGCAAGATTTATTCCTCTTGCCCCTGCAGCAGCCACCACTCCCAAACTCAGCCAGAAGAGACATTTATTGCCCTACAAAATCCCCCAAGGCCACAGCAAATATTCCCAACCCACAATAAATGGCTTGAGGGAAGGTTAAAGTGTTACAGCAGCTCTGGATCTTGCACTGGAGAGCAGGAAAGAGGATTTCTTACTCAAAATCTGCAATCAACACTCCAGAAGAGACACAAATGAATACAGGCAGATACATACAGAGGAAATACAGGACTTGCCCAGGTAACACTCCCCCAGCTGCCTCTGGAAAAACCTTGGGATGCAGGCAGACAACCTAAGCTGCACCAGGATGAAGTGGAAGCAGGTTAACTGCTCTCAAGGAACTAAATGCTTCACCTGGCCATGGGACAAAGCAAAGGCTCTGATGAGAACCCAGAACTCAGACTGGACCCCTGGAGCATCTGCCACAACAGAAACCTCACCCCAGTCAGGAGCAAGACCCCCTCACCACATAAATGCCACCTAGCTGGGTCCAGCATTAATTCCTTTTGGATGGCTCATTCCACATATTATCAGCCATGGGTTCTCATCCCCCTCTGCTCCAGAACAAAGTATCAGGCTCCCACAGCATCCCTGTGGGCTGGAGGAGGAAGGAGAGAAGCCGATGGGGCACTGACCCAGAAATGAGGCCTCAAGGACTGCGGTTGTACCTCAGTATTCTCGGGCTCCGATGCCCCGTGTTCGTGATCCGAGCTCTCCTTGCTCTGCTTCCCTGGAGATTTGCACTTCCCTTTCTTGCACTTCCCACTGCAGGGCTTCTTCTCCCCTCTGCAGAGGGCCTGGAGCCGAGTGAGGAACTTGGCTTTCCAGGCCTCGAAGTCGCCCTCGATGCTGCCGTGCCTGCTCCGCGCCACATTGCAGTCGCCCTCGGCGCGGGTCATCACGCGGCTGGCACCGAGCATCCACAGCCACCTGTCCAGCCTCCTGCCAACCTGGGACAGCAGCAAAGGGGCAGGGATATTAAACCAAGTCCAAAGGAAAGCAGGAAACTAAAAAAAAGCAAGGATCAAGCCTGGAAGGAGAGCTAGTGAGCTGCATAGGACCGCAGGGCAGGGACTGGTGGAGTCCCTCGGTGCAGACACAAGGCAGCCTGAACACCCCACACTGCCTCAGATTGCTGGAAAATCCCTCTGCTGTCACACTGGTGTGGCAAGGGAAGAGCTCTGGGAACAAGCTGCTCTGGGTGATGCCTGCTGCTCAAGGTGTGTAACATGTTTCATGTGGCCCCATCTGTAAACACAACAACCTGGTGACAGGAGATGCTGTTTTTAATGAGTGAGGTGACACCAATGACCAGGCAAAGATATTGTCACTGTCACAGTTTAAATCAGGGAATAAAGCTAAAATCCACAGCACATAAAGTAGCCAAGTTTGAGAAAAGCCCTGTAAACTAGAAGGCAGCAAGTGAGAACGTTTACAGTCCTGTACCCTCACGTGCTGACAGAAAGCTTTCCAAGATGGGAAATGAACTCAGCAAGGGTTTTTCCCACAGGTGTATTCCCACACCTTCCAGTTCATAGGGGACTCCCTTCCCATTTAAAACAGCAGCTCAATTGCTTCAAAATTGCCCTGTCCAAGTGGCCAAAAAGGCCAGTGGCATTGGCTTCTACAAGCAGTGGTGTGGCAGCAGGACCAGGGCAGTGACTGTCCCCCTGTGCTGGCACTGCTGGGGCACCTCCTCAAATCCTGGGGGGCAGGTTGGGGCTCCTCCTGACAAGAGAGACACTGAGGGGCTGGAGCGTGTGCAGGGAAGGGAACGGAGCTGGGGAAGGGCTGGAGCAGCAGGAGCAGCTGAGGGAGCTGGGGGGGCTCAGCCTGGAGAAAAGGAGGCTCAGGGGGGACCTTCTGGCTCTGCAACTCCCTGACAGGAGGGGGGGAGCCGGGGGAGGTTGGGTTCTGCTCCCAGGGAACAAGGGACAGGAGGAGAGGGAACAGCTTCGAGCTGTGCCAGGGGAGGGTCAGGTTGAACATTAGAAGGAATTTCTCCATGGAAAGGGTGGTCAGGCACTGGAAGGGGCTGCCCAGGGAGGTGGTGGAGTCCCCATCCCTGGAGGTGTCCAAGGAAGGACTGGACGTGGCATTTAGTGCTCTGGGCTGGGGGACAAGGTTGGCATCAGGCACAGGTTGGACTCAATGATCTTGGAGGCCTTTTCCAATCTCAGTGATCCTGTAATTCTACTTGTGCCCTACACCCAGTCCCTCAAGTCTGCAAACAGCTGCAATTCCCCCCCAATCCACCAGCACCGCTCAGTTTTGAAGCAGTTCATCCAGCTGAGGCTCTCAGAGGAGCAGAAACCAAGAAGGAAGAACAGGGGACACACTTACTGTGTTGTAATGATCCACATACACCGAGTTCCCCAGGCCAAACACGGCGTATCTGAGCCCCTTCAGGTGGGTTTTCCCAACACGGAAATCGTTGGCTGCCTCTTCCAACCACTTGCAGAACCAGGCCGCGCTCTCCGTGGGCTGCCCATCCGTGTACGTGGCCACCAGGAACACACAGATGTTCCTGCTGGTTGTCTGACCACAGGGACACAACAGGAGAGACAAGATCACTGCATTATCCAAAACACTTGGCATCAGGAAAAGAGCTGGAACACGCGGGCAGCTGGAAGGAGCCAAAAGACAAGATGGGATGGTGCAGGTGACAATCCCAGTGGTGGTGAACGACCTGTCCCCTGGACAGGGACACAGTGAGCAGAATGAGACATCTTCCTAGAATCATACAATGTTAAGGAGTTGGAATGAACCTTAAAGATCATCCAGTCCTAACCCTCTGCCATGGGCAGGGACACCTCCCACTAGACCAGGTTGCTCAAGGCCTTATCCAACCTGGCTTTGAACACTTCCAGGGTTGGGGCATCCACAACCTCCCCTGGGCAACGTGGACCAGTGTTCCACCACCCTCACAGCAAAAACATTTGTTCCTGATGTCTAACCTAAATTTCCCCTCTTTCAATTTGTATCCATTACTCCTTCCCCAATCAGCAGCTTCCTGAACAGACTCCTTCACCATGGTCCCCCATGGATAAATATTTAAAACTACAGACTCCTTCACCACAAAGTCCCCCATGGATAAATATCTAAAACTTCCCAACTTCACATTTCCAGGTTTGTTAGGGGCAGTATCCAGTGCTGACAACTCACACTGAAACCCTCAGGAATTTCCAACACATGGTTCCCACATGCAGGGAGATACAACCAAAACGTTTTGTTAGGATTAATTAAAACTATCAGTATTCACAGAAGAAAAACCCATCAAGGGTTACTCCAAACACCTCACAAGGAGTTTCTAACTTGTAAGCCTATAAAAGCTGCAGAAGCATCACCAGCTGCTTGTTCCGGCTTTAAACCCTTCCCCAGGTGCACACAGAGAAGGGGGGACCTGGTGCAGCCACTGTCACCCCTGAGTTACAGAACTGGCTCATACAAGAACATTTTGAAGCTGACAGTGACCTATGTGATGCTTTCCCAGTAATTTTCAAAATGTAGGTATTTTCTGCTGAGGGCTGATGGGCTGCACTTGCTTTTGTAGCAGGGAAACAATTTGCAACACACAGCTTTGAGGATTTCCAGGAGAACAGGAGAGAAATAAATGAGGAAAACGGCCTTGACAATCCCAGGAAAAAACTTGTATTTATTATTCCTATTCATGCCATACTCACCTCCTCTGCTAAACAATCATCTGGGTCATAGTCTCCCATGTTAATGACTTCCACAGGCAAATTAAGGGAAGTAACAGCTTCAGCCAGAGCTTTGGCAAACCTCTGGAAAAAGAAACATAGGGGAAGTTATCAATTACTTCAACCCACACCAGCCCTGCTGTGCTCAGCCACAAAACCTCTCCCAGCACAGGGAGAACACCTGAGACCTGGACGCTGGGCCTGTAACTCCTCACATTAAAAACATGAAGTCACTGGCTGAGACTTCCATGAATTTTAATGGCTTTACATTTCCACACACAAATGGCCTTTCTTTTTGAGAAAGCACCAAAACCAGCACCTCTTTCTATGAAGACCTGCTAGCAAATTAAAATTATACTGTAAGAGTAAACTTGAAGCTTCATAATCAATATCCTGCAGGTCCCACTTCAAAGGAGGGGGAAAAATGTTATTTTTATAGAATTTTCACTTATCTTTTGTGTTGGGCAATGACTTGTAACGAGCTAATGAACTTCCTAATGAACTCTCAGATTTGTACCCAGTGCAGTGTTTTATGACAAGCAACATACTTGAATCCCAACAATATTTCAGATCTATTTCACAAATGTGGAACAAAAGTAACTGATACCTTTGCCGTGCCAGTCTGAGAGCCATAGAAGATCTTTACTCCAGCAACATACACCTCCTCTGCCTGAGGGGTGGCACATCCATTTACCAGCTTGTCTTCTGTTCCTCTGGAGGAAGTGGGATTCCCACTGGATTTTTCATCCTATGAAACAGGAGCTGTGTCAAATTCCATCCCCTTTGCAAGTGATGTCAAACCAAAAGCATTTAAAATTCAAATCCTGTGGCCAGACTGTCAGCACTACACAAATGCAACAGCACTTGGGTTCCTCTCACATCCAGACAAACACAGCAGGAAGTGTTTCCCTGACCTAGGCCATGCTCCAATATCTGGGAGATAAAAGGATCCAGCTGAACCTCCCAAACTCCTGCAGCAGAACTTCAACCACCTGCATGAGGAGGTTTTCAATTCCTGAACACCCCAATCCCACTCCCATCCTAAAACCAGTCCAACCTTGTCATTGCCATCACTGGAAACACGAAGGTAAAAACACCGGGCACAAGCAGAGGGATTTCCTTGGAGTGACAGACACAATGTGAGAAGTGTCCAGCTGAGATCTGCTCCAGGATCAGAGCAACAGGGGCTTTCAGTAACCCTCAAACACAAAACAATCCAAACTGAGGATTATATCCACATGAACTAAAGGGCATTTTGGATTTGCAACGCTCTAGGTGGGCCCACGGTGACGTGGCACATTTCACTGCACCAGTGGGTGTCTTCACCCAGCAACTCCTCCCTTCCACTCACGGGGTTTTGGGGTGTCCTCAGACAAAAGTGCTGACAGGTTCAGTTACCTTCTTTTTGGTTTTGGTGGTGGTGAATTGAATGACAATCCAAAGGCTGATCCCCAAAGCAACAGCAGAGTAGATGTAAAATCTGTGCAGCCATATGGACGCCAGGCAAGTACAGAAGTAGCTCCACGTATCCATTGAGACATCTAAATCTGGAATAAGTCACAGATTCCGACAGTATGAATATGGAATGAGCACACAAAAAACAACCACACAGTCCCCACAGTCTCATGGCATCAGCTACTCCCCAGGCTCTGCAGAAAACAGGTTTTGGCCAAAGACAAGGCACTACAACTGAATCAAGAAGCCTTCACCTCCTCAGGTGCGTCAGTTGAGCTCCAAGCTAATATTTTAGACTCTGAGCCTGGAAATTCTGGGTTTTTTCTTTATAGGGCACCTCTGTTATAAGGAAAAGCAGAAAATATTTGAACTGTGCAAGTGCCTGAAAGTAAAAAATCCTTTTGAAACATGCACTGGATAGTACTGGCCTTAGTTTGACACAAGTGCAGATTCTGGAACTAGAAAGCTCCAGTTCAAGGAGGAATCACCTCCACAGTTTGCTGCTGAACCCAACCCTTGCTTACACACATTAGATGTTACACTCATTACAAATAGAGTTACAAGGGCAGACTGAAACCTGGATTCAACTGGAAGCACTTTCTCAGAATTGTATGGTGCAAGTGAAGTTTGACTTGGAACAACTGAGATGTTACAAGTTGGTTCAGTACATTCAGGGTACAGAACACCCCAGCCAGGAACGAGCTTGTGTGGTGCCTGTGAACACCTATTTCATAGGAAACGTTCAGGTGCTTAAAAAAGGCTGGTTTGTGACACTTATTTAGTGAGAAACACAGCCCTCCTACTGTCACCTGCAGCCCCCTTGGACCTTGCTTCTGCACGTATCAGACAAGAGCACAGAATCCAAGCATTCCCAGGAGGCTGGAAACTCTTCTGCTTTTCCCCTGGGCTGTTACTCACATTACCAGCTCAAAGGCTTGAGGGGATGCCCGTCACCCCCTCCAGCAGCAACACTGAGCCTCCCAAAAGAGACAAGCCAAGAGCACTTGCCAGTGGGCAGCCCCAGTGCTGCCAGCCCACCCCAGCAGCAAACCCCTCAAGGGAGGCTCCAAAAACTTGCTGCAGCCCAAGTACCCTGCTCCACCTCACCCTCTGCATGTCCCACCTTCAATTACTCCATAGCACCCAAAAACCATCCCCTGACCCCCCACTGGAGCTGCCCCCCCATCCCTCAGCCCTGTGCCTACCCAGGAACCTGCCCCTCTGCACCACCCCCCAAGCCCACCCCATTTAATCCCTCCTCTGTGCTGACCCCCTTCTGTACAGGCCCCTCACACAGAACTCTCACCCCTCTCCATAACCACCTCATTTATAACCTTCACTCCTACACACACACCCCCTCATGGTTATTTACCTCCCCCACATGGTTATTACACACTCACAGTTACTGCCCCCACAGACCACCCCCTTCATGGTTACTACCCCTAAACACCCCCCCCCGTCATTACCCCCATACACATTCCCCCCTCACCGTTATTAATCCCATTTCCCCCCCAATTATTACCCCGACCCCTTCACCCCCACCCCTCATGGTTATTACCCACACCCATCCCACTCCCCTCACAGTTATTATTATTATTATCCCTCCCCGTTATTATCCCCCTACACACACTCCCCCCTTACACTTCTTACCCCCACACCCCTCATGGTTATTACTCCCCCCAAACACACACACACACCACCCTCATGGTTATTCCTCCTCCCACCACTCACAATCCATATCCCTTCTCTCTCCCACACACCCCTCAGGGTTATGACCCCCACTTTCCTCTGCCTCCCACAGTTATTATACCCCCAAATTGCTAAACTCACCCTCCTCACAGTTATTACCCCACCCTGCCTCCCTTTCTCCCCCATCTGCCCCCCCCCCCCCCCCCATTTCCCCCCCCCCCCCACCACCGTGGTTATACCCCCCTACTCCTCACGGGTAATTTCTCCATCTCCACACACACACATACACAACCCTCTCACAGTTACCACCACACACACACACAGTTATTATATCCTTTCTCCCCCAGTTTTTACCCCACCACACACCCTCCCCTCACGGTTACTACCCCAAATCCCCCTCCCCGGTTGAGATCCCACACTCACCCCCCCCATCACAGTTATACCCCCACGGTTCATACCCCCATCTCACAGGTACTCCACACACACGTGGTTATTACATCCCCCCCTCACCGTTGTTATTAATATTATTATTATTATTATTATTATTATTAATTATCACACACCTCTCACAGTTATTATCCCACAACCCCCCCCATCACAGTTACACCCTCACCCCTCATGGATCATAGCCCCATCTCACAGTTACCCCACACACACGTGGTTATTACATCCCCCCTCACAGTTGTTGTTATTATTATTATTATAGTTATTATTATTACTCCACCCCATGGTTATTATCCCACACACACCCCACCACCACCATTGTTATACCCCTCACGGTCCATACCCCCATCTCACAGTTACCCCTCACACACGTGGCTATTACATCCCCCCTCACGGTTGTTGTTGTTGTTGTTATAATTATTATTATTATTATTATTATTATTATTACCACTACACACGCCCCCACACCATCATTTTTATACCCTCAGGATCCATACCCCCATCGCACAGTTACTCCACACACACACACACACGTGGTTACGATATGCCCCCTCGCAGTTGTCATTATCATTATTATTATTATTATTATTATTATTATTATTATTATTATTACCACCCCTTCCCCTCACGGTTACTACCCCCCAAATCCCCCTCCATGGCTGTGATCCCATACATCCCCCCACCATCACAGTTATACCCCCACGGTTCATACCCCATCTCACAGTTACTCCACACACACACACGTGGTTATATGCCCGCTCATTGTTGTTATTGTTAGTAGTAGTAGTAGTAGTAGTACTACACACCCCCCCTCACGGTTATTACCCCACACACGCCCACCACCACTGTCCACAGCCCCATCTCAGAGTTACTCCACACACACACACGTGGTTATTACATCCTCCCCTCACCGTTATTACACTACCATTAGTACCCCGCGCCCCCAGCCCCGCACTGACCCCTCTGCCCCGGCCGGCGCTGCCCTCAGCCCGCCATGTGCCGCTCCCGCCCCTTCCGCCCGCCCCTTCCGCCGCCATTCACTGCCGGGCCGGGCGGGCGGGGCGGTGCCGGCTCGGGGCCCGCGGCCGCCGCCATGTCCATCTTCACCCCCACCAACCAGATCCGCCTCACCAACGTGGCCGTGGTGCGGGCCCGGCGCGCCGGCAAGCGCTTCGAGATCGCCTGCTACCGCAACAAGGTCATGGGCTGGCGCAGCGGAGCGTGAGTGCCCCGGGGAGCCGGCGAGGCGGCGGCGCGGCCCGGGGGGGAGCGGGGAAGGACCGGGATCGGCCCGTGTGGGGACCAGGATGGGCCCGTGTGGGGATCGCGGAAGGATCATGCGGGGACCGGGATCGACCCGTGTGGGGAGCGGGATCGGCCCGTGTAGGGACTGGGGAGGGACCGTGTGGGGACTGGGGAGGGACCGTGCGGGGACCGGGATCGGCCCGTGTGGGAACCTGGATGGGCCCGTGTGTGGAGCGGGGAAGGACTGGGATCGGCCCATGTGGGGACCGGGAAAAGGACTGGGAGTGACACATGTGGGGACCGGGAAAAGGACTGGGAGTGATCCGTGTGGGGACCGGGGAAAGGGCCCATATGAGGACCAAGATGGACCCGGCAAAGGGACCGCGGGCCCTGCCTGGGAGCCCGTGTGCGCCCTCGGCAGTGACTCCTGTGCGACCCGGCTGTGGGGCCGTGGAGCTGCCCCGGTACCCGGGTCTGACCCCCTGGAGATGGTGCGGGGCCGGGAAGGGGAATCCCTGGGCAGTAACACCTCGGTGATGGAGGTTTTCAGGCTCTGCTGATCCAGCCCTGGGCAGCAGGAGTTGTTCCTTAGTTAAACACTGATGTGCTCCTTGCTCTGCTGGAGAGGGACTTTGGACAAGGGCGTGGAGTGGCAGGACAAGGGGGAATGGCTTCACACTGACAGAGAACAGGGTTAAAAGGGATATTACAGAGAAATTCTTCCCTGTGAGGGTGGTGAGGCCCTGGCACAGGTTGCCCAGAGAAGCTGTGGCTGCCCCATCCCTGGAAGTGTCCAAGGCCAGGTTGGATGGGACTTGAAGCAACCTGGGCTAGTGGAAGGTGTCCCTGCCCACAGCAGGGGTTGGAATGAGATGATCTTTAAGGTCTCTTCCAACCCATCCCGTTCTGGGATGATTCTGTGAAGGTTTCTAACCCCATTCTTTTTTCTAGGGAGAAAGATCTTGACGAGGTCCTGCAGACACACACCGTGTTTGTCAATGTTTCCAAAGGCCAGGTGGCAAAGAAGGAAGATCTGGTTCAGGCATTTGGGACAGATGACCAAACAGAAATCTGTAAGATGGTAGGTTTTACACACTTTGCTTTATAAAAGCTTGGATAAGACTTACAGCCACACAGTAGGTTGGTTTGTACTGTTTGCAGAATGCTGCTGTAGTTGTTTGTTATGAAATGAGTAAAAAGGAGTAGAAACTCTGTTTTATAGTCTTAAATTTTATATATGCATCTGGCTGAAAAGAGTTGTGAGTGTTCTAACAGACAGCTTCTCTGCACTGATGTCGAGCACTGAAGAGTTCCTCACCTAAGATAAGTGGACAGTTGCTTACTTTGGACAGTTCACTTAAGTGTTAATAACAGATCCAATCTCTTGATCCTTCTTGGTAGGATAGGAACTGTGGGCTTGTTATGGGTGATAAGAATTCAAGTAAATCTCTTTAGTCAGCAGTGCCCTGGCAGCCAGGAGGGCCAACCCTGTCCTGGAGGCATCAGGGAGGGGATTGTCCCGCTCTGCTCTGCCCTGGGGCGGCCTCACCTGCAACATGGGGGCAGTTTGGGGGGACACAATGTAGGGAAGGGATTGAGCCATTAGAGAGTGTCCAAAGGAGGGGGAAGGGCCTTGATCTGAAGCCGTGTGAGGACACTGAGGGCACTTGGTGTGTTCAGCTGGAGCAGAGGAGACTGAGGGCAGAGCCCATCAGGGGCTGCAGCTTCTCCTGAGGGGCAGCTCCGATCCCTGCTCTCTATGACCAGGGACAGCAGCCAGGGAATGGCTGGAGCTGTGTCAGGGCAGGCTCAGGTTGGATCTCAGCCAAAGGTTCTTCCCCCAGAGGCTGGTTGGGCACTGACCAGGCTCCCCAGGGCAGTGGGCACAGCCCCAAGGCTGCCAGAGCTCAGGGAGGATTTGGATGATCCTCTGGGGCACATTCTGGGATTGTTGGGGTGTCTGTGCAGGGCCAGGAGCGGGACTGGGTGATCCTTGTGAGTCCCTTCCAATATTATATCCAATAGGATATTCTATGGTTCTATGAAATCTGTGCCTCCCTCGCTGTAGTTTCCATGGTGAGTTTTTTTAAGTCTTTCCAGAGCTGTCTGTCGTAACAATTCACTTCATCAATGTGATTTTTGTGCTGCACTTCGCATCTACCCAAACCATTCAAACAATGGTTAAATTTAACGAAGTTACTGGAATTTCCACTCTTCACGTCCGTGATGTTTCTTAACTGATGTCTTTATTGTTACAATACAGATTTTATCCAAAGGGGAGCTGCAGGTATCAGACAAGGAGCGCCACACTCAGCTGGAGCAGATGTTCCGAGACATCGCGACCATCGTGGCTGACAAATGTGTGAACCCCGAAACAAAGAGGCCCTACACAGTGATCCTCATAGAGAGAGCCATGAAGGACATCCACTACTCTGTCAAACCCAACAAGAGCACCAAGCAGCAGGTGAGTCTTCCTGCAACACCAGCTCCTACTCCAAGGTGCTGCACTCCAGTGTAATTCCTCAGCTCCCTGTCACACAGGGATCAGCAAAACCCCGGCATCTGAGCCCTCAGAGGGATTACTCAGCCATCTGGCAGCTGAATACAAGCAGCTCCTGAAACTCAGGCAATTTGTTTTCTAAGAATTCAGGGAAGAGAGAAAGAAAGAAACTTAAATAAAACAGCAACAGTGGTACACCTGGAACAGAAATAAAAGGTTTGTGATTTATCCTAACTGAGGTGTTATATCAGCCTTTGCATCTGAACCACCTGGGTTTGTGGTGTTTTGCAGTGTAGCTGCTATTTAATTTTATTTCAGACAAGGTTTTTAAGTGTTTGTAGTGATCACAAACAGCAAGAACTCTGCTTTTTCTTGTTAATCTGGCAAAAAGAGTGTGTGACAGCAACCTCCCTGCGGCAGAGTGGCAGTGACCAGCACTGAGAGATGAGTCTGAAGCTGGTGCAAAGGGCTGGAGATTTTGATGTGTGTGGTGGTTTTGAAGCAGGTGTGTAAATGCTCTTCGTGTCCTTCCAGGCCCTGGAAGTGATCAGGCAGCTGAAGGAGACCATGCAAATTGAACGTGCTCACATGAGGCTGAGGTTTATCCTCCCACCAAAGGAGGGCAAGAAGCTGAAAGAGAAGCTCAAGCCACTGATTAAAGTTATTGAGAGCGAGGACTTCCAGGAGCAGCTGGAAATTGTAAGCAAAAAGCAGTCCCTGGGCTTCATACTTGACTTGACTACATATTTTACTAGAAGGTGAACTCATAGATGGAAGGTGGAACTGAATCAGAGCTGCTGTTTGGGGTTTTTAATATCAAACAATCCTAAGGATGGGAGCGTGGGAGCAGCCTTTGTTATCCAGAGGTTGCTGCTCCAAGCTGAGCAGAAGCCCAGTGCAGTTTCTCTTAGCATTGATTATCCTGCCACACTGATAAGTTTATCTGCATATGTGGAATGTTACTGTTATTTATGTGGTGGCTCAAGCCTGTGTTTTATTATTTTATTTTATTTTATTATTTATTAGTAGTTAATTATTTTTTTTTAAAGTCTGTGGTAAAGCAAAATTTGGTATTTGTAAAAATCTTCTTGGAATACAGATTAGAATCCAGCAATCCCAACTGGAAAAAGCCATGTCCAGCATGGGGAACTGGAACTGCAGAAATTCAGGGGAAAGATTAGATTAGATTACCTGGAAGATACTGTTTATTAACTCTCTGCAAAGACCTTCTTAGTGACTAAATGGGGTTTTTTAATGAAAATTAATGTTAGGCCTTGATTAGGGCCTGGTGAAATTCCAATATTCTTGCTTGACTGTGACATGTGGAACATTCCAGGTGTGCCTTGTTGACCCAGGCTGCTTCCGAGAGATCGACGAGCTGATCCGGAGCGAGACCAAAGGGAAGGGATCCCTGGAAGTGCTCAGTCTGAAGGATGTGGAGGAGGGAGACGAAAAGCTCGAATAACAAAACCTTCCTGCAGCAGTTCTGCTCGGACAACCTCCCCTGAAATGACTGGTGTAGCCACTCTCTTCTGTTAGGCCTTCGTGGGTTTTTCCAATCTCTTGCTGCCAAATGTTTTCTGACACTAATCCTTTGGGATTTTTCCATGCAGTGTGAGGGTTTTTTTATCATTTTACACTTGTTTGGGTTACAGATGTCTTTGCCTGTAGGAAGGTTCTGTGTCAGAGTTGCACTAATAAGGACTGAGTTAGGATGTGGTAGGAGGTTACTCTGGCTTTGCTTTAGTTTCAGGGTCGCTGTTGAAGTCGTTTGACTGATTTGGTGCCAATTGTTTGTACTTTTGAAGTTGTCAGTGTTGAGTGGAAGGTTGCACTGGTCACTGAGGAGGGGGTTTGTGTGTGAGGAGAGGAACCTTTAAAAAAAAGAGAGCCACATTTTCACTTCTAACAGGTGCAAAGTGTGGATCATGTCCAAAAATCAATCTTTTGGCAGCGTGAAAACTGACTTAGACTTCCATAATTGGCTGCTTGGTAATTAAAATACTTCAAAGGACCATTAGTAAAGATTTCCTTCACTGGATATAACAGCACTTGCTGACTTAGAGATGATGTTCTCCAAATAACTTATTCATAAGATATATTTAGCTACATTAATAAAAGCAAATGATCGTCTATTTATATATTATAGATAAAGAAAGAAAATACTTATTTTTGTTAATAGTATAGGAGATATCCCTGGCTGTGGTGATGCTTTTTGTGGGCTGAGCCTGTGCTTGGGAGCTGCTCTGTTCACATGATAAAATGAATCTCAAACAGGCAGTGGTGGCCTCTGGCCATGGAGCCAGACGGGCTTTTGTTGGGCTGTAATTCCCAGCAGGAATTGTTTGTGTGTGCCCCTTTTGCTTTTTTAGCGCAGCACAGACCCATTCTGGCAGCTGTCCTTTATCCTCTGTCTTTTTGTGCTGCTCTCTAATCCAGGCACGGAATTTCCAGCCAGCTCCTGGGGCACGGGATATAGTTCTTGCTAATTCTGTCAAATCTTCTTGCAGCTGTGTTAAACAAATGATTCGAGGGGGGGTTTCAAAGGAGAGGGGAAGGGAGGACAACAACGGGGGAAGGAGATACTAAAAATACAAAGCACCAGGCAAAGCAGATCTGGTTCAGTGACTAAAAGCTAAACCAGGAGGAATTTTGGGAGCCTTTAATGTTACATTTCTGTTACCATGCTGATAGTAGGCAGCAGGTGAGGAGCTGGGGATAAATCCAGCCAAAGATTAGATGTCTCCCAGGTGAGTGTGTGGTGGTCCCTGGTTGCTGTCGCCTTCCAGAGCTCACCCTCTGACAGTTAAACTGAGCTCAGGTTTGTACTCCTGACCTTTTCCTCTGGACCTTGAACTCACTGTGAGTTTCCCAGGATTTCAGCAGGGTGGAAGTCAGCTGGAGGGAGGGGGGCTCTGGCATGTCAGGTGGATCCTCAGTCCAAGGGAAGCTGATTTGTGTTTGTGCAAGGCCAGCATCAATTTCTTCAGCAGCATTTTGGCAGGACTTGCCACTCCAGAGCCTGAGTTTTGCTGAGGGCAGGTGAAACAGAGATTCTTGAACCACTTGATCCATTTTAAAATGCTGTCTCTTGTCCCCAGGGGGTTTAAATGCTGCCTGGGAAATTCAGTGGTGTAATTACTGTGTTGGCCACGTGGACACGGGCTCAGTGTGGGAGATCTCTGTGGGTACAGCCCTGAACTGCTGCTTTCCCATGGCTGTGTCCCCACGCACGCTTCAGGAAGCACTGAGGAAGATCATGTGGATATTTAGCTTGTCACTGGCAATTAGCACTAAAAGGCAGTTCATAAATATGCAAATGAGATGCTGAGCAAGAGCCTCAGAGGATCCTGTGTGGGTAATACTTGATTTCACAAGCCTTTAATTTCTTTGTTTTCCGTGTTCAGCACCTTGAGCACAACGGGATGGCTGCAGGTCAAAGATCTGGAGTTACAGAACCTTCATCTAAGCTGATTTAGGAGCTTGGTACAAGAAAGGCAATTTCCTTAGGAAGCCCTTTTTTTCCTGCAAATCCAAACATTAAGGATTTTCTCTGCTGGAGGGAGCTTGGGTTTATTTATCAACAAATAAATGCACATGCTGGAATTTCTTGTCATGTTTGTAGTTCAGCAAGAATGTCTGATGAGCATCAAAATAAAGCTCAGTATTGGTAATGCTTTGGGTTTGCCTGTTCCTGCAGGAGTAGAATTCCTTGCACAAAGGTTTCCTAGCTAATTAAGTGGAATTTCCAGAGGTGGGTGTGTAAATAAGCTGGGAGCTTCCTGGAGAGCACTGCTGGTGTGGTGGGTGTACACGCACATGTGTTTTCCCTGGAATTGTCCTGTTCCTCCTGGGGCTGGGAATGGTCCGTGACTGAGAAGGGTCCATGACTGGCCAAGTGACAACTGCTGTTGCCACAGCGATAGGAAACAAGGCTGGGATCCTTCTCCCCCTCATTAATCAGTTACTAATTAATCTGTTGCCTGCAGAGGCCCAGAGGGGCCGTTTCCGAGCAGGAGACGCAGCTCCGGCGGCAGTTGGAGGTGCCACGGCGACGGTTCCACGGCGGAACCGTCGTGGTCACAACCCTGTGACCACTGTGGCTGCCCCTCACGGGTCCAGGATGGTGGGCCCAGGGATGGCGGGCGCAGGGAAGGGGGCCCGGGGCCGCGGTGCCGCCGGCACGCAGGGCAAGAAGGCCGGGCTGGACAAGCGCTGCCGGGAGCTGCGTGACCTCGTCAGCCTACAAGGTGCTGCCCCTCGGCCTCACGGGGACAGGGGTGGGCTCATGGCCCTCCCCATCGTCCTACACGTTACCAACGACCCCCTGATGTCCCTCCAGCACAAGGGTTACGGATTTTCTCCCAGTCGTGTGAGGAGAAGCTCCGGCAGAACCAGCAGCTGCTGCCCAGCCTGCAGCAGGCGCTGCAGGAGGATGCCCGTGTCCTGGATTTTGTCCTGAAGGTACCGAAAGGCCCCACCTGCTGCACCCCTGCACCTGCAGCTCCTCCAGCAGTCCCTTCCAGGGGCCAGCAGCAGGATGTGACCATTGCCAGGCTGGCAGTGACAGTCCCTTTGTCCCTCTCCTGCCCACAGTACAACAAGCTCCCCGCAAACGATGCCTTCTCAGAGGGAAAGGCCGTTGCAGCCACCGAGAGCCTGGAGGTACCAGCAGGGTCTGGTGGGACGGGCTGCTCCTGGAGGGCTGGGGCTCTGGGAACACTGGGAAGAGCAGTGCATGGCAGAGGGATGTGGTGCCAGCACAAGGACAGCCCCCCAGGGCCACTATGGTGATTCACGGGGTGTTCACGTGAGTCCTGTGGGTCCCTTTCCACCACAGGACCCATCCATGCAGGTCCTCCCTCAGCTCCCTGACCAGACCCCCGGTCCCAACGACCTCCTGGCTGTCCCACCCTGTTCCTACCCCTTCCTGGCACAGGAACCCGCCCTGGGTTCCTACGGGGTCCAGCTGCATCCCTGGGAGAGAGATGCCATTCCTGTCCTTCACTGCCTGTCCCAAGGTTGTGACCTGGTTATGAGCCCGTGGAGATGGAGGAGCTGCCTTTGCCTGCGGGCCCCTTGCAGGGACAGAGCGGTGCCGCCGCTCTGACAACATCCACAGCTGGGGCACTGGTCGATTTTATTGATCCCCAGCCCTGGGTCTGTGTTATGCAGAGTCCCTAAGCCCAGCCCAGCCCTGCCCACCTCTCCCTTACCCCAGCAAAGCTCTCCCACATCCCAGCCTGTCAAACCCATGACAATGTCCCAGAGCAACGTCCCAGTGTCCCTGGCTCTACTTTGGGGGGGGAGTTGCCAGGCAGGACCCCCTTCTCCTGCAGCATCCAGGCTGGTAAACACTCCCATGCCCATCCAGGCGGCCCAGAAGAGGCTGGAGGCCGTGGTCCATGACCAGGTGAAGGTGTGTGACATGCTGCTGCACAAGGTGAAGCAGTGGAGTCAGGCCCGGGACGATCGCCAGAGGTACCTGCAGCAGCTCAAGGAGGCTGAGTTGGATGACAGGCTGCAGCAGCCGCAGTTCCAGGTACCCAGGAGCCCTTCCTGAGGTGGGGTTCAATCCTGCATCCCCCAGGTGGGCACTGGGTATGCAACAGAGAGTCACTTCAAGTCCTCCCCCGGTGTCTGCCCCAGGCGATTCGCCAGCTGGGCAACGACATTGAGAAGATGCTCATGAAAATTCAGACTGGGCAGAGGGTGACCAGCATGTACCTGCAGGTGCAGGACATCATGAGGAAGGTGAGCTCCTGCTCACCGTGCCATCAGCCCGCCTGCTCCCTCTGCAAAGGCACAAGGTGCCCAAGGGGCCGTGTCCAAGGGGATGCCCTCCTGGATTGGTGGGGTCCTCCCGCTCCCCCCATCCCCTGTCACAGCCTGGGGGACCCCCAGGGCTCGGGGGGTGACGTGCTGTGTTCCCTGTGTCCCAGGAGCTGTTCTATCTGCCTCGGTACCTGGACCTCATGTGTGGGATAACTGTGATGTACAATGAGGAGCTCACATCCCGGCAAAACCTCAAAGCCAATGATGTCATCAAGGTGAGACTTGGCACAAGGACCTTGGGGTCCCTTCCCACCCTCCAGTGCCCCCAGACAGCACCACATACCCGGGCCTGTGAGCCTTCCTTCAGTCAAGAGCAAAAGAGACAGAGCTGGAGTCGCCCACAGCACCCAGATGCCTCCACAGCTCTTCCTGGCCAGGCTGCCCTGGGGCTGGGGACAGCCTGCCTGAAGCACCAGCCATGGGGAAGGCAGCTTGCTCCATGCCCCAGCCCTCCTTTCCCAGCTTCCTTCCCAGCCTGTTTGCATGGAATTGAGGACATTTTTGACACTGGCCATCCCGAAAGCTCAACTGGGTCACAAATCGTAGATTCATGGAATGGTTTGGGTTGGAAGGGACCTTAAAGATCATCTCATTCCACCCCCTGCCGTGGGCAGGGACACCTTCCACTAGCCCAGGTTGCTCCAAGCCCCATCCAACCTGGCCTTGGACACTCCCAGGGATGGGGCAGCCACAGCTTCTCTGGGCAACCTGTGCCAGGGCCTTCCTCACAGGGAACAATTTCTTCCCAATATCCCATCTTAAACCAATACTTAAACCTAATAACCATCCCGAAGAAAGCTCCAGCTGAACTTTGGCAGCAACTTCTCCCTCCTCTGTTGTGCTCCAGAAACTCATGGCCGAGGCAGGACCCCAGGTCCTCGTGGAGAGGTCCCTCAGGGAGCAGTCCCTGATCGAGCAGAGGGAGAACCTCGAGAACCTCCAGCAAAAGACAGAGACCGAGAGGCAGCTGAGAGAGGTGAGCTGGGGGCCCGGGGCTGTGGGGAGGTGCCAGCCAGCGGTGCTGAGCCCCCCGGGGTGGCAGCAGGGGGGTGACAGTGACTGTCCTTGCAGCAAGCAGCGGCCCTGCTCACCGCTGACCAAGCCCAGAGCTCCTCGGACGCGATGGGGGGTGAGTGCCTGGCGGGGGGGCAGGGCTGGGCTGTGGGCACTGCCACTGGCACATCCTCCCCTGCCGCTCCCCTCCCACCCCAGGGGCCGACGCAGAGGCTGCCATGACCCAGCTGGAGCGCGAGGCCTTTGTGAACGACAAGATGGAGATGGCCAAGGCTGCCCTGCAGTGCTCCAGCATCTGGGTAACGGAAAACTCCCTCCCTGGTCAAACCTGGGGCTGCCCCAGCGCTGGGGAGCTGAGACCCCTCTGCTGCCCTGGTTTCACTGTGGGGTTTATCCGCTCTCCCCTCCTTGGAGCCCCCTAAAGTGTCTCCTTGTGTGGGCAGACACGGAGCTGCCCTTCTCTGTGGCACGGGATTGCAGCTGTGAGCTCCCCGAGGTGCCCCCAGCAGGAGCACCATGGGCAGAGCCCTCCTGCTCTCCCCTGGCCAGGACATCCCGGGCAGCCTCCTGGCACAGATGAAGTCCACGGAGGACCTGGAGCAGCACATCCAGGAGTGCAAGGAGAACAAGCAGGTGCTGAGGCAGATGCTGAAGGAGCTGGAGTTGAAGCAGGCGAGGCTGAAGTTTCACCAGCCCCTCGGCACAACCAGGTGCTGCTGGCCTTGGGGCAGTCGTGCCAACCAGGGCACCATCCTTGGGGGGCACACGTCCCAACAGGCACCCCGACCTCCATCCCACTGCAGCCACCCACCCCTCTTGCACCAGGGGGGTTCCTGAGCAGGGTGATCCCCCGGCTCTGCTCCTGGCACAGCACCCAAAGCTCCCACTGTGGCCCTGGGGGCACCCTCGCTCCTTGCCTGGCACGGGAAGTGGTGCCAGCAGCACAGGGTTGGGTTGCAAGCAGCATTTTTGCTCTGCAGTTGCAGGCCAGGGCGGGGGGACCTGAGCAGCTTTTGCAACAAATTTGGGGTGTCTGCAGCAGCTATGGGGTGCCTGCAGCAGATCTGTGGGGTGCCTGCAGCAGATTTGGGGTGCCTGCAGCAGGTCTGTGGGGTGTCTGCAGCAGGTCTGTGGGGTGCCTGCAGCAGATCTGGGGTGCCTGCAGCAGGTTTGGGGTGTCTGCAGCAGATTTGGGGTGCCTGCGGCAGATTTGAGGTGTCTGCAGCAGATTTGAGGTGTCTACAGTAGGCGTGGGGGGTCTGCAGCAGATCTGGGGTGCCTGCAGCAGGTCTGGGGTGTCTGCAGCAGATTTGGGGTGTCCCTGCCCCCCGGGCAGTTGTGTGACGTGTTGTTGGCTCCAGCCTGCGGGAGGAGGAGCTGAGGGAGAACCTGCAGCGGGAGGAGTCCCGGCTGGAGCAGGTGCAGGCGCAGATGAAGAGGAACCAGGAGCAGCTGATCGAGTTTGAGAACAGCATCGACAACCTCTTCGTCCGCCTCCACAGCATCACCATGCCCGACCAGGTGCCCACGTGGCCCCAGTGGGGTGGGACAGGGTGGGACAGGGTGACCCCTGGTGCAGCCACCACCACCGCGAGGGGCTCGTTCTCCCCACCAAGGTGATTGTTCTCCCTCTCCCTCCCTCCAGGGGGACTCTCCCCGGCCCGTGGGGTTGGAGGAGAAGCTCAAGCAGTGTGAGGAGAAGCTGCATTACCTGAAGCAGAGAGTGTCCGACCGCCCCCCCAGCGCCCAGACCTACGACAAGGAGAGTGAGGTCTGTCCCTCCATCCCTGATGTACCTCTGGGGACCCACACAGGGCTCTCACGGCCCATCCAAGTCATCCTTCCTCACCCAGGGCATAGAGGTGGCCACAGGGAAGGGCCACGGAGCAGCTCAGCCCCCAATGGCTCTGGGAGCTGTGGGGTGTCCCCACAGCAGCGAGGTGGGGCACCCCCTGGGCTCTAACACCCACCTTCCCGTCAGCACTTATCCCAGCGTGTCTCTCACAGACTTTTGGGAAGGTCAGAAACCTCCTGGAGAAATCAACTGCGGCTGAGGCACAGAACCTGAAGATCTCCTTTGAGGATGTGGGCCCTGCATTCCACGGTAGGAGAGCACAGTGGGGGCACAGTGACTGTCCCAGCCCCTGCCTGCTGGCACTTCTGGGGGTCCTTGTCTGTCTCCCACTGTCCCAGCACACCCCAACCCACGAGCTTCCTCCAGATCCTGGGGCTGACCTTGGCTGTCCCCAGGGCTTTGAGCACGGGTGATGGTTTGAGGTGGGGCTGTGGGAGAAGGAAGGCAGATGGGGGGTGATGAGCATCAGGCCACAGAGGGAACAAGGAGAGATGCTGTAGGGCAAGCAGGGAGTCCCTTGTCTTCAAAATCACCTGGCTGGGAAGAATAACCAGTACTTGGCTCTGCCTGTGGACACTCTTGGAGGAGACAAAGAGCTTTTGGCAGGTCGCCACCGTTTTTAGCAAAGCAGGAGCTGTGCCCACCACCCTGTAGCTCCAGACCTTTTTGGGAAGCCCCAGCAGTGTTGGAGATGGGCCATCACCAGTGCTGCAGGTCACTCTGGGGTGCTGGGCTGGAAAAGCCCTGGTGCTCAGCACGGGGGCTCTCTGGGATCCCACCAGCCCGACAAAACATGCCAGCTCTGTCAGGGACTTGGGCACAGCAGGGATGGCCCTCAGAGCCTCCCACCCCCCTCTTCTCCACTCTCCCCTGCAGTCTCCTTGGATCTGGAAGAAGAAGAGCACGACTACATCCCCAGCCGGGCAGACATCAAGAAGCAGGGGCAGCAGCTGATCAGGATGAACACCAAACGCCGCAAAAGGAAGTAGCAGCGTCTCCACGGGACCTTTGGGAGCCCCAGGCCACCCCTCGTGTCCCTTCCCCAGCAGGTTTATTAAAGCAGATCTTCTTCATTCCTCCCAGTTCTGTGGCAAAGCTGGAATGGGTGGTCTTTTTTCACTTCTGTCACCCAGAACACGGGGGGGGCCCAGCGCTGAGGGGCTGAGCTGGGTTTGGGGGCAGCCCCTGCCCCTCACTTGGCTGCTCCCCCCACAGAGGTGGGGATGGGATGGGATGGGATGGGATGGGATGGGATGGGATGGGATGGGATGGGATGGGATGGGATGGGATGGGATGGGATGGGATGGGTGGGCACAGCTTCCCAGCTGGAGCAAAGAGGGAGGCAGGCTGGCCTTGTCCCCCTTGGTCCTGTGGGGCCAACACCTTCTTGGGACCTCTGTCCCACCAGCCAGCTCTGGGACCCCGATGGGCTGTGTCTGCCTGAGACAGCGATGGGGAAATGTGGGGAACAGGCTGAGACCCGTGTGGCCCTCAGGGTGAATGTTTTTGGGAGTAGAAGGGCAGACCCTGCCTTGGAAAGAGCCAAACCTGAGCTGAAGCCCCCAGCCTGGGGCTGCCTGACCTCCCTGCAGACCCTTGGTGGCTGTCCCCTCCCTGGTCCCTGCACACACCCCGTGTGTCTCCTACTCACAACCTGGAACCAGAGCAAGCCCCGGGTGTCACCTGAGGGCTGCAGGAGGGGCTGGAGCTCAGGGGGCCCCAGCCTGGCCCAAGACAGCAGAGGATGCTGCACCAAGCCCTTGGCTCCAGGGTGGGACCCTCAGCCCTGCTCGTGGGTCACGGACACCCTCCCGTGAAGGGCACCTTGTCACCTCTGCTCTGGTGCAGCAAAGCTGCAAACAGATGGTGCTGTTTCTCCGAGGTTCTGCCTGTGGTCCTGGACAGAGATCCAGGACAGTGGCACCCGGGCCACTTCCAAGGGAACATCAGCATCAGACCAGCCTTTCACTGCCATTTCTGGCAGCCTGGGCTCTGTGCTTCGTGCTGCCATCGCTGGTGGCATCGTCACTGGGGGGGGATGGCTGGCTCTGCCAACCCCCTGAGCAATCTGGCAGGTCACCTGGAATGTTCTGGGTGGGTCTCGTGTGCAATGGGAATTGTATTGTCAAAACACAGCACAACTTGAGCGTTTTCAAGGAAGCTTCAGGAAGCTTCCTACACCAGGAATTGCTTCCCAATATCCCATCTAACCCTGCCCTCTGGCAGTGGGAAGCCATTCCCCCGTGGCCTGTCGCTCCATGCCTTGTCCAAAGTCCCTCTCCAGCTCTCTTGGAGCCCCTTTAGGCCCTGGAAGGGGCTCTCAGCTCTCCCTGGAACCTTCTCTTCTCCAGCTGAACCCCCTCACCTCTCTCAGCCTGAGGAAGGTTTCAAGCTCTTGGTCTGGTTTTCCCACTCTGGACGTGGGGAACAGAGAAGCCACAAAGGTGTTGAAGGCTTTTCTCTGCCAGAGCTGGATGGAGGATCTGCTCTGTGGCCCATTTTCCAGCTGGAAGGTAACTCTGGGATGTTTCAGCTGCCCTCAAAGGAGGGGAAGAGCAGCAGCACAACCACGGCACCGGGTTTTCACCTCTCTGAACTCCCCCAGCCGTGAGCGGAGTCACCGGGGCTGCACCTGCTCCATCAGGAGCATCCATTGGATGCATTCAGACACTGCATCCCAACCCTCCTCACGTTTCCAAGGCGAGGGAAGGGCTGTCACCCCCCGGCCGGCAGCTCCCGGGCAGGCAGACAGCGCCGGGTGCAATCGGAGTGACTGCTCCTGGCTCCCCGGGATCCGGGAGAGGCAGCGCCGGGAATGGATGTGACAGGTGGAGAAGAGGTACAAGACAAGAGGGGGGAAGGAGCCAGAGGGAGAGCCTTGGGTTCTGGGATGGAAAGGAGTGGGAAAAGGTGGGGCTGCAGGGGGTCTGCCATAGGGAAAATATTGTTAATAATATAAGGAATAAATGAGGGGAGGGGAGGGAAGGGAAGGGAAGGGAAAAGGGGAAGGGAAAAGGGGAAGGGAAAAGGGGAAGGGAAAAGGGGAAGGGAAAAGGGGAAGGGAAGGTTAGGGAAGGTTTGGGAAGGTTTGAGAAGGGAAGGGAAGGTTTGGGAAGGTTTGGGAAGGTTTGGGAAGGGAAGGGAAGGGAGGGGAAGGGAAAAGGGGAAGGGAAGGGAAAAGAGGAAGGGAAAAGGGGAAGGGAAGGTTAGGGAAGGTTTGGGAAGGTTTAAGAAGGGAAGGGAAGGTTTGGGAAGGGAAGGTTTGGGAAGGTTTGGGAAGGGAAAGGAAGGGAAGGGAAGGGAAGGGCTGACACCACTTGAGGTCTCATTGGGTGTCAGACAGGGGTGGCACAGCCCAGGGAAGGAGGTGAGAGATCTCCTTTTCAGCCCAGAGAAACCCTTATCCCCTCCCTCCCAGCATGGCTGGAGCTCCAGGAGGGATGTCTGCAACCAGTGCCAGCACTGGGGAGAAAACTAAAATAGGACATCAGGGAATGGAAGCATTTGCCACGTGGAAATATCTCTGCCTTGGGAAGGCTGGGATTGAGTGGGTTTGGGACTTTTTATTTTTAAAGGTGTGATGAAAATCAGATGGAATGAAGGGTAGGCACAGCTGGGGCTGTCGCTGGAGCCTCAGCACCGGGTTTTATGCTCTGGGGAGAAGTGGAACTGGATAAATCAGCAGATCTGAGGCCAAAGGGGCCCAAAGCAGAGGCTCTGTTGGCTGTTCTGGGGAGGGAGGTGCAGGCAGGGGATCCATCTTGGAGCTGCAAGGGTGGGATGTGGGAGGTTCCTGTAGCCCAGCCTTTGGGGTGAGGAGCTGCTTCCACCCCAGGAAGCTCCCCCATTTCCATGTTGCTGACAGGAGGGTTAATGGTTGGGATGGTGGGGCTTGGCCTGGTGAGCAGCAGGAATTGGCATCCCCAGCCACAGGCAGAGGAGGGAAGGACCCCAGGGAGGTGCTGTCCTGGCCCAGCTCTGACCCTGAGCAAGGGCAGAAGGTGCAGCAGGCAGGGGGTGGGGCTGGCAGCTCCCCACAGGCAGCTTTTCTCTAGAGTGGGGACCGTGGGACACCTCGGACCGTTTTGGTGGCCTCCTGGCCATGTCTGTCTGTGCTGGGCCCCCAGAGCTGGTGGCAGCTCCAGGGGGGTCTCAGGAGGGTGGAGCAGAGGGGGAGCACCCTCTCCATCCCCTGCTGCCCACACTGCTGGGGGTGAGCCCAGGAGACACTTGGCTTTCTGGGCTGCCAGTGCCCGTGGGTGGGTCATGTCCTGTTTGTCACCCACCAGTAACACCCAGTCCTTCTCAGCAGGCACCTCTCCATCCATCCATCCATCATCCCTCCATCCATCCATCTACCCATCATCTATTCATCCATCCATCCTACCATCCCTCCATCCATCCTTCCATCCATTCATCCACCCATCCCTCTCTCCCTCCCTCCCTCCCTCCCTCCATCCCTCCCTCAGTCTCTGCTGGTGCTGGGGATCACCCTGCCCCGGGTCCCTGCCCTTGCCCTTGGCCTGGTTGGCCCTGCTGAGGTTCTCACAGCCCCACTGGGTGCCCCCCTTCCCTCCAGCCCATCAGCTGCACCCTCACTGTGGTGGAAAACCCAATCCAGTGTGTGTTGGGTGGTGCAGAGGGCAGGGAAGGGCACAGCCAAGGAACCTGGGCAACCCCTGGGAAGTGCTTTGGCCACTTTAGCCCAGAGAAAGGACACAGCCATGAACTTGGGGGGCTTAAACCGTGACACACACCCAGCCAGGCACAGCAGGGCTGGGAGCATCTGCTTCCCAGTGGGATTTGGGCTGTTGGACATCCCACTCTGTACCAGGCTGGATCCAAAGTGTGGAGGAGAGCAGGGAGCAGGGCAGGGTCATGGAGCAGGGGGTATCTTGGGGTGCAGGGCAGTTCAATGGGGTGCAGGGAGGGATAACGGGGTGCAGATGGACGATGCCCACTGGGAGGCAGGTGGAGATGCAGCTCATCTGTCCTGGTGTGCTCTGCCCACCCCTCCCACCCCTCCACCCCACCTGCTCCTGGGCAAGCCAGGCCATGGCAATTGGGCACAGGAACTGGTGGTGTCCCCTGGCAGGGCTCACCCTGCCCAGGGGCAGCACGTGGAGGGCAATTCCATGCCCCGGCTCGGGCTCTGCCCCCCCAGTTCCTATCACACCCCAACACCAGCAGCACCCCAAGCCGTGGGAGAGGGGGACGAGCCAGCAGCAAGTGATGGGGGCACCCCCTCCTTGTGCCCCCTCATCCCCAGAGGGGGTCCCACAGGGCTCTGCCACCCCACCCCAAGCTGTGTGTCCCTGTGGGTGCAGCACAAACCCCCCAGTATCTATTTTGAGCCTTTGCCAAGGAAACAGGAACTGGGAACAAGAGGCCACGGGGCAAGACCCTGCCAGCCCAGGGACATGGGGTGCCCAGGGACACGGGGTGCCCAGGGATGTGGGAATGTGGGATGCCCAGGGACACAGGATGCCCAGGGATGTGGGATGCCCAGGGATGTGGGAATGTGGGATGCCCAGGGATGTGGGATGCTCAGGGATGTGGGAACGTGGGATGCCCGGGAATGTGGGATGCCCAGGGATGTGGGGTGTTGGTGCAGAAGCCACTCGGGGTTGCAGACAAGCCGGGTCAGCCGTTATTTATTGAGAACAGTTGTGGAGGGATAAAAATATTTCCACTAACTCTATAAGAATTTATAAACCTATACTCTGCTTATATCCGTTAACAAACGCCTCTAGGACCGTCATGCCAAGGGAGGAGGGGCTTCTGTAAGAAAATAGCGAGATTAAAAAAAGGAAAGCACTAATATACCCTGCGGGGCCCTGCCCGGGGAGGCCCTGCCCACGGGGAACCCCTGGCTGGCACAGGGACACGGGGGGCACGTGCCTGGTGACCCACCCCGAGCCTCGGCTGGGCACAGCCCCCACCAGGGGTGAACCCACCTGGGGGACCCCAGCTTGGGTGGCCCTGGCGGGGACAGGACACAGCCCCCTGCCAGTGAGTTCCCAGTGATCCCACTGCTCCCAGTTCTGCCTCACCAGCCCCTTTTGTCCTTCCCTGGAGCCAGGAGGGAGCAGGAGCTGAAGGGGTTGGGATCCAGCTCCCCTGGGACACTGGGAGGTGTGGGCCAGGCTCCCCCTGGGGACACACAGCGGGGCTTTGTCGGGAAGCAACACAGCTGGTGACATCCTAGGGGGACACAGGGACACAACACAGTGCCCTGCAGGGTGGGAACACGGGTGGGGACATCCTGAGGGGACACAAGGACGCAGCACAGTGCTCTGGGGGAACACAACACGGATGGGGACGGCCTGGGGGGAACAAGCTGCAGTGCTCCCGAGGGCAGCAACACCGAGGGGGACATCACAGGGGAACGTGGGGACATCGTGGGGGAACATGGGGGCATCACAGGGAATGTGGGGACATCACGGGGGAACATGGGGACATCGTGGGGGAACATGGGGACACACAGCAGTGCTTCACTGAGAAGCAGCATGGGTGGGGACATCCTTGGAGAACACACAGGGATGCTCTGCCAGGAAGCAGCAGGGGCAGGGACATCCTGGGCACACAGGGACATCCTGGGCACACAGGGACACCACAGACAAGCAAGTGGCACCAGGGGCCGAAATACCAGCAGGGGCAATGCCGTTGCCATGGGGTGGGAGGTGCCACAGGCCCAGGACTGTCATTATTGCTTTACAGGGCCAACAGCCAGGGGGAGCCGGGCTGGGGACCCGACCTCTGATTTAGGGTTCAAGGGACTTTCCCCAGGGCCCAGGATTCCTGGTTCACTCCGTGGGGACAGGGACACTGGGGACACAGGGCTGGACACTGACAAGTTCAGTCCCCCTGCACACGGAGCAGGGTGGTGGCTGCCCCTCCATCCCCTGGGTCCCCTGTGCCCCCCGGGAGCTGCTGTCCCTCCGTGCCAAGGCAACAAGCAGCCCTGTCCCCCACGGCGGGGCAGCTGGGGGGGCTGGCACCAGTGCCCCCCTTTCCTCTCCCCTTAAACCAGGGCCGAGCCGAGGTGAAGGCTGTGAGCGGGAGCCCGAGGTGACACGGGGACAGGGGGAGCAGGCTGGCCCAGAGCTGGGGGACACAGGGAAAGCCAAAGCTTGGGGGACAAAGCTGTCCCCGGGGGCGGGGGGACACGGGGGCAGGGGACTCCCGGGCCGGGTGGGCTGTCCCCTGGCTGTCCCCGGCTGTCCCCTGGGGCGGCGCTGGGCGGTGGATAAGGCGATACCGCAGCAGCTTTAAGGTGGCGGGTGCGGTTGGTACCGAGTCTGGCGGGGCCGGGCGGGGCGGAGCGTGATGTAAACATTTCTGATCCGGGGGCCAGGAGCAGGAGGAGGAGGAGGAGGAAGAGGAGAAGGAGGAAGAGGCTAGTGTGAGTCCTTCATCTGCTTCTGGATCTTCTGCAGCATCTCCTGCATCCGCCGCAGCTGGAAGGGAGCAGAGCAGGGGTCAGGGGGGTGCCGGCAGCTCCAGCCACAGCAGCTTTGGGGCAGGCACCCCAGGCAGGCCGGGATCAGCAGGAGGTGAGTGAGGGGAACCCTCTGATGCCCCTCAGCACCTCCTGATCCTTGGCCTGAGGAGCAGCAGCTGCTGGGATGGTGCAGGAAGGGTGGCCCACAATGGATGTGCCACGACTGGGGCTGCAGAGAGGGGAAAGGGGGGCTGGGGGGGCTCAGCCCTCCCCCACACTCACCTCCTCGTCCTTCTCCCGGATGAGCTTCTCCGTCTCCACATCTGGCACTGGGGGGATGACAGGGATGGGAAAGTCTGTCCCACTCTCCCGTGTCAGCTTGCTGTGGGAAGACAGAGGAGGTGAGGATGCTTCCCCAGCCCCCCTGGGGGGACATTCCCCCACAGATACCCCAAACTGTGCCGTGTCCACCACCCACCTGCACAGCCCCCGAGCCTCCAGGCCACCAACACAAGAGGCCTCTTTCCAGGCAAGGAGGATGTGAGAGGCTCCAGGTATCCTCCCAAACCTCAGCACCCCTAAACTGCCACACACTACTCGGGGAGGGGGGACCCAGGGATTTCCTGCACACCCTCCCATTTTGGGAAGCATCCCACTGGGATTGGGCTCTGCTGGCCCAGTATTTCCTCTGCTGCTGTAAAACCCCATAACCTCAGCATCTCCCCTCTCTGCCCTGCTGCTTCAGGACGGGCTCCCCGGGCACCCCTGTGCCCAGCCAGCCCCAAGGATGCTCCACACCCCTTTTCCTGAGCCTCAGCTCCCGTTCAACCCCATTCGTGGAGGAGGGAGCGGTGAGCATCCCCCCGAGGCCACCCCCCCTCGCAGGACTGCAGCCAGCCCGGATCAATGGCTTCTCCCATGCCCGCGGCACTGGGAGGGACCAGCTCTCCCACCCGTCCCTCTGGATGCCACGTGCCAGCCCAGCGGGTGACGACAGGGCTGGGACACCGAGAGTGGCTGGCAGGGGTCACACGTGCTGCCACGTGCCACCGCCACGTGCCACCACAGCGTGGCCCCTCCGGTGATGGACACTGGATGTGGCACGGGCAGGACGGGCCATCCCTGCCCTGCGGGGTCCCGTTGTGCCAGGGGGCTGTGCCAGGGCAAGGGACGGGGTTTGGCCACGTTTTGAGGTGCCTTGGAAGTCGCTGCCCGTTGTCACGGCTCCTCGCCCTGGGGGGACACAGTGGGGAGCACACGGAGCTCCCTCCACCCCTGGCAGCGGGACAAGGCTGGAGCCAGGCACCAGCACTGGGATGAGCAGTTCCACCAGCCCAGCAAAGACTGTCTGCACCCCAAAATCACTTCCCCCGGGAGGGCAGGACTTTGCCAGCCACTGGGGGTTTCAGTGCCACCAACTGGGGCCACATGTCCCCAGCCCTGGGAGAGCAGGGGTGATGCCACCAGCACATGGCATCCTCCTGGCATCCCAAGGGCAGTCTGTGTGGGACACGAGTGGATGGCCACGGGGCCAGGGGAGTAGCCACAGGGCCAAAGGGGTGGCCACGGGGCCGGGGGGTGGCCACGGGGCCAGGGGGGGTGGCCACGGGGCCAGGGGTGTTGGCCACGGGGCAGGCTCGCCTCGAGGGCGGCTGCCCGGCCCTTGCGTGGGCACAGAAGGACCAAGACAGTGTTGGGTACCAACAAGTACTTTATAAGGGGGCCAGGGGGATGGCAGGGGGTGGCAGGGGGTGGCAGGGGATGGCAGGGGGAGGAGGGCGGGGCCCAGCGCGGCCCCGGCCGGTCGCGGCTCAGTCGGCGGAGCAGTCGGCGCAGCACAGCCTCAGCACGGAGGGACGGCCCCTGCCCGGGGCACGCAGGGAGAGACTGTTTAGAGGTGCCTAGAGAGGTGCCTACAGCCCCTGGCAGCCCCCCACAGCGCTGCTCCAGCCCCCCCCGACCCACAGAGCCTCCACTCGCTCCCACACTGCTCAACCCCTCAGCTGGAGGGTCCCACCAGGGACCCTTCCTTGGGGGGCTCCCTCAGCATCTTGGGGTGGCTTAAGGGGATGTGGGTGCCATGGCTGCAGCTGGTCTGGGAGCAGAGCCCCAGCATGGGATGTTTGTCTGGGTCCTGCTCTGGCCCCGGAGCCTGCAGGAATGCAGGGTCCTCCTCACTGCTGGAGCATCTCCCCCCAGCCAGCCCCAGGGGGATGCAGGATCCCCCTCACTGCTGGAGCATCCCCTGAGACATATCCTGGCCGGGGGGGACACGGAGTCCTCCTTGCTGCTAGAGCACACCCCCATCCCAGCCCTGGGGGCACACAGGGTGCCCCTCACTGCTGGATCATCCCCCCTCGTCAATCCCAGCCCTGGGGGATGCAGGGTCCCCCTTACTACCCCAGCCAGCCCCGGGGGTGACATAGGATCCCCCTCACTGCTGGAGTATCCCCACTCAAGACAGACCCAGCCCTGAGCAACACAGGGTCCCCCTCACTTCTGGCCCATCCCCCCCAGCAATTCCCAGCCCTGTGGCACAGGAAGGGCCCCCCAAACCCCCCACCTCTGCCCACCCCAGCACGAACCTGCACACAACCCCAACCCCTGGAGACCACCGCCGGCAGTGGGCTGGAGTCACCCCGAAGAGAGGACATTCCCCCCTCCCGTCCCTGCCCAGCCTGGCCCCGCCTCTGCTAGCCCCGTACTTGCGGTTCCTCTCCTTCACCACCATGCGGGTCATGCTCTGGATGCACTGGGTGCGGTAGTTCTCGTAGTGGGTCTCCCTCGTCACGTCCTTCAGGTCCTGCATGTGGGTCCTCACCAGCATCGTCCGCAGCTTCACGAAGTCGCAGTGGGACGGGTTCTCCACTGCGGGGCAGCCCGAGGTCAGGGGGCTCCCCAACCCCCCCCCCCCGGGGCTCAGCAGCACCGACACAGGGCGACATCCCCCTCCCCAAGTGGCCGTGGGGACACTGGGGACAGCCCGGCGTTACCTTCCACGATGCCCCAGGGGTAGAGGCGCCCGCGGACGCGCCGGCCCTTGGCCTCCACCACCGTGTTGCTGCCGATGACGGCGAAGGGGATGCTCTCCTGCAGGAGGGTGTGGGAGAGAATGAAATGTTGTTCATTGTCTTAAACGTTGTCAAAATCATAGAATCATAGAATCATAGAATCAGCTGGGTTGGAAAGGGCCTCTGAGATCATCAAGTCCAACCCTTGATCCACTACCACCGTGGTTACCAGACCATGGCACTGAGTGCCACATCCAGTCTCATCTTAAAAACCTCCAGGGACGGAGAATCCACCACTTCCCTGGGCAGCCCATTCCAATGGCTGATTACCCTCTCTGGAAAGAATCATAGAAAGGTTCTTTGTCAAACTGCAAAGTAGCCTGTCTGAGGCTCATTTGCACCTTGATTCAGGCAGAGGCATTTCTAATAATTGTAATAACAGGGGCTCAGCAGGGCTTCTGTCCTGCCTGCCATGCCCCACATCCCTCCCCAGGTATCTCCTCTGCTGTGTCCAGCATCCCTTTGCCAAGATATCCCAAGCTGTGGAGATCCAGGGGCTGTGGCATGAGCTTCTCCACCCCATCCCCATCCCACCAAGCTGTGGGATCTTGGCAATGTGTCTGGGTAGTGTGACACGTACCAGCCCCTCCATGCTGGGGCTGCTGTAGAGCTTCTGTGGCCCCAAAAACTCCTACAGGTACCCCAGGATGACATGTGCTCCCTGCAGAGCTTGTGTGGCCCCAAAAAGTCCTACAGATACCCCAGGATGATGTGTCCTCCCGGCCATGGGGCTCTGCCCCTCCAAGGACGGAGCTGCAGGAGCCAGACCCACCTTTAGTGCCTGGTCCTGCAGCTTGAACTCCTCATCCTCATCCGAGTCGCACTCGGGGAACTGGTAGATGCGGATGCCGTAGTGGTCGATCTCCTCCCGGATCTGGAGGCAAACACCCCTCTCAGGGCAGGGCTCCAGCCCTCAGGAAGGGGTGGGAGACACCACACAGTGCCAGTATCCCCCAAAAGCCCATTCCCCCCAGACTAGATGTCACGGGCACCCCTCAAACCCTTCCAGCCCCCAGCTGAGCCCCAGGGAGATCCCGGGTGGCCACGGGGTCAACTTGGTCCTGCATGGAGAATGCTCCCAGGCAAAGTCCAGGCTGGAGATGGACAGAACCCCCATCCAAGCGGGGACCCCCAGGGCACCCCCACACCCAGGGACCCGCCGGGATGGCTCCAGGCTGGAGCGAT